AGATAAATATTCCCATCACTACACCACCATCTACCACCATCACTATCCTACTCTCTCCATCTAGTTGCGATGTTGCCAAATCATGGATAGTTATATACCTTAATTTGGTTTGTCAAATTCTCTATATACTAGCGCAAAAATGTGCAATTGACACAGGGTTGTCATAAAAGTACTTCGGGTATTGTTTTTTTTCTATATTATAGTCATAATCTATTTACTTTTTGTATGTATGTACTTGAAGAATTATTTAAGGTGAAGCTGATCTCACAAAATATACCTAATTAAATGAGATATATATGAGAAATAACTGAAAAAGTAGCTGTTGCCAATCACTAAATAACGTCAACATAACAAAGAGCATTGCAAGTTTTTTGATGATTTGATGAAATGATCGTTGATCTTTATTTAACTATAATGTTGGACGATGATATGTTAGGTGGACCTAGCGAGGTGGTCCAAATCGACGAATCGAATTTGGGTTTTTGTTTATTATATGCAATGACCGCTGATGCCTATTGTATTTTTTATGTCACGCGAGCCGCTGGTGCATTTTCCACTGTTTAGACACATACTGTTCAAAATTTCATCTAGTTTTCGGTAAATATTGGGTCAACTTCTCATAGAACAAGCCATTTACATTAAATTAAGACTTTTATTTTGCAAATAACCTCATTTTTTATCACGTATTTCTCCCAAAAAGGTACAACTTAGCAACAATGGACATCATTTATCTTATCTGTCAAGAAATGAACGTTATAAAATGGCCATTCAGAATTGTTTGTACTTTCAAATATTTCTTATAAACGCAAAAACCTTGAAAAAATTGGTTAAGGAATTTCAAGAGGACTTCGAAAAATCACAACACAACATCCCTACAGAGTTGACCAAGTAAATACCATCATTTACGTATGTATTTTGAACTGTTATTTTAGCTAATAAGCTAATGTATAATAACACGGCTGATTTTGAACCTTTTTTTTTTGCAAAAAGCAAGGATTTTTTACAGTTACATCTATTTTACTTAGTACTATACAGTGTGTGTTATATTCTTATAATTTAGTTAGAGCATCATTTTGTGCAAAAAGAAAAAAAGCGTATAAAACAGTATTCCATTCTAGAGTATTACCACCAAAAATGCAATTTGGAGTTCTATAAAATAGCAAGCAGAGGGTTCCTTAAAGGAAAGATGATATTTTCGTGCAAGTTACATCATAATCTTTAATTTCAAAGTAAGAAATGAAGTATAGTCTTACCCATAATCATCCAGATGCGATCTTGCTATTCAACCAACTTTCTTCTCAGAGAACTACAGACTACTCGGCTTCACAATACATATGCAACTAACAATGCGTGTAGTTTAGTTGAAAAACTACCTAGTCTGCAAGATGACATCTTATAGTTTTTTTTTAAGTTTTATAGGTTTTTTACATAACACCTGTGTCGATTGGTAAGGTATCTCCAATCACTTTCTAATTGCACCACGCGGCCTCGAGGGCACACACCACGGTAATATCGTGCGAGGACAGTAACATGAGCGCATCTGCTACAGTGAGTATGTTTAGTAAGCAACCACTTGAGATATAGAAAAAATCGGCTCCGGCACTTACCACCGTGTGATTTTTGGAATGTGCGCGTCCGTAACAGCGTGTATGCTTAGAAAACAATAAGTTCAGAAAAAGGAAAAATGGGAAATTGACTATTAGAGGCAGATTCAAATTTTCATCTTCAGGATTGAATCGAACATCGATCCTTAAAGTTGGCTGACAGCTGGTGACTAATTGGTTATTTTTCCTTTCTCTCAAGTTCTTGTTTACTGTTTTATGGTCATCAGCAAGTGTTTTATTCTCAAGAAGTATTTTGTTCGTTAACTTAATGGAATCGTTTATTCGATACTGGCATTAAGAATTATCAGAGCTTCCCTACTGAACGAGATATGTCTGATGGAAACAGTGCGTGTAAATCTGACCTCATGCTCTTTGTAGTAGTAAGCAGAACCTGTAACATCAGTCACCATAACTATGCGAAGCACAAATTTATTTGATAAGTCATCTGTACCATAGAGCTTGCGTATATGTATGGAATAATGAGATTTTTTTATAATTAGCGAGCGCTGACCGTTGACCGGATGGCTCCCACTGGCAAATAAGGGTTTTCCATTAAGCCTGGTTAGGCCGTAATGATAAATTGCTCGGATGGTAAAAGCATTTTTGGATTGCTCTTATATGATGCATGCAATACCGCATGAAACGTCTGTATTCACATGTGATGCGATGACAATGTAAATAACGCCAGCCTTCGATCTAGGTTTTAATAGTTTACGTTGCTAATTATGGATATGCCATTTAACCAATCAACCGGGTAAACGTGGAAAGTGCATCCTGTCGACAGAGGAACAGAGGAATATAAAAAATCAGTAACGTGTCTGTTCTATAAAATTGACAACTTGACGCGTACTAAGTCCCCATTGTGAAAATGCATTTGTCCCAATAACACATTTTTTGAGTGCATCTTTAAACTGTTAAAGAATTGAGATTTGCGCGAAAACAAAACAAGGAGTCATAACATTTCTGACACCCTTAAAAACAATATTAGACTCAATAGAAATGACGAAGTGTCATGATTTTTGAGCAACTCGCACAAAACACGGTAGCATTACCTAAGCTATCAAAATTTCGTCAAAATGGTTATTAAAACTACGAGCAAGCAGTTGTAAAACCGCCAATAAACATTCATACTGAAAAATATCCCACCGATAGAAAGAGCAATCAATCAATAGTAGGCTGACTGACCTACAGACACACAGACAGGCTCATAGATTGCGAAAACACTTAAATTAATGATCCGTTTATTAAGGTTTATCGATATTTTTTAAGCTATACTTAAGGCCTCTTCTTTCAGCTGTCCCAAAAAGTGAAACTCATTTCGACATCCAAGAGTTTAGTTAAAACTAGAAATCTCATTATCCAGTAATGTGTTGTTCAGAAAGTTGTTTTCCTTTTCCGAAATAACTATGTCTGATATGGTGAGGGTAATGTGCGGTGAGACACCAGCAAAAAATGTCGTCAGGTAGGTTGACTTTGCACGTTCTTCGCAACGCCGTCATCAGTACATAAAGCATTTAGTTCAGCACAAGCTAAACCATCTGAGAAGAAAAAAAACAATAAGTCACGAGCATGTACGATATAGTCATTAAACGGATGAAGTCAGTGTACAAGTAGTCCATAAACATTCTTTCCCTGCCTTACCAGTAGTTACTGTCCATCTGGCATCGTTGACCATTCCCATATCTTCAGACGCGGCAGCGCCCACCGAAGCGCCGCCGCAGAACGAGCAGAATAATCAAGCAGACCGTTATGCCGGGTGCTGAGCCCAGATAGCAGAAGAAGACGCGTACCGAAAGCATTTCTGTATCATTCTAAGCTTTAAAGTCAAATGTATGGAAAAACCTATGATGTATGAAACATGACATAGGATTCCTGCAGGCTCTCTTGCAGTAAGTGTCAGCAAGTCAGGTCAGCCTGTCTCAATGCCTGATGTAGATGATGGAGTGATTCTGATTATATTAGGTGATCTTGATAAGCCCACAGAGTGAGTCCTGGAGGCTATCGGGGAGCAATTCACCGTCATCCCCATCTGCAGAAGCTGAGCATTGCACTCAGTCGCTTTACCTCTGTATCACACCGCGTGTAGTAACTTGCGATAGACGATTCATGTACAGATGGCATTGGAGCCCTGATGAAAAGGTATACGCCTTGAAGGGTAATGAAATTGGATATTGTATTTACCTTGGAGTTGCAATGTCTGAAGAGGGATCAACTACTCAGTCACGGGAGTTGAGGTATTGAGTTGTACCACTCTCAACGTGGAGAGAATGATCCAAGAATCATCACCCATTACGGAGTTGTATGGTCACATCGAGCAAAAGGTTGAGTGAGTTGCTCCTCAGAAGGCGAGGAGTTGGGGGAACCGACTGATCTGCTAGAAGTAGACGCTAGGGGTGTTCTAGTCTGCGGCAACACCGGAAGTTCGCAGATCGGAAAAACTGCAAGAAGGAATTCGTGGAGCATTAATGAACGACAATTAATACCAAATTAATGAATTGGACAATAAAAATTACGGGAGTTGAGCTATAGGAAAATGAAGTTAATTTTGAAGTTCTATGAGCTTGTTTGTGTTAGAGAAAAGCGGAAGTTCCGGGATTTAAATGTCTGAACTGTGGGAGTTGGAGGAGAGGTTTGGGAGTTTACCTCTAACAAAACTCCAAAACTCTAGCAGGATGGAAGAACTCCTGCATCGCACACTAGAAGCAACTACTCCTAGATTATCCCCGATATATGTACGTCCCCTCGTATGCTGGATAGCCGCGGGATAGCAATGTGTCGGAAGCAATCTCCGTAAAGAACAGCCCAGAAATAAACTTGTTCTGTAAGATTGTTCACTTTATTCCGTTTTAAGAGGAGAACATTTTTTTAAGTTTTAAGGGCATATTTATGGGAAAACCTATGACGTGTAAAATATGTCTGATAGGCGCGCAGTATTACCGGGGTTGTAAAAGTATTACTATAAAAAAATTGCGATAAAACCTCTCCCCAACCCCATTATCATTTTTTGCAAAAATGATCTTCTCCAACGTCAAAAACAAAGTTTGGGCGATTTCTATTTTTTGACATTTTTTCGCTGCTACTGGACGGATTTTCGAAATCTATATATACAGATTTTTTCGTTTTTGGCCTAGTGGCAACTTTGAAGTTCTAATCTCCTGTTACGTTAGAATATAGTATTCTTGCAGCATCTTCATTATCCCGTACATCAGCCTGTTAGCTTGACTCGTTAAAGATTAAGTGAGGGGGGGAGGTACTCAAAAGCATTGTAGAGAAATTTCGCATTACTATAAAAATGTGACGAAATGCAAATATGTTTGATTAGAAGTTCAGTATACTGTCAAACAAAAATAAACTCATACAGGTAACATCACAAATTGTTGGAAATCCATCGTATACCAATGCATCATCGCCTATGCAAGTTGTAGGTGTGGAAGCCGTCTTCACAGCAGTTTCTCCTTTCACGATACCGGCACACCGCTTTGCGCCACCGTTCTAATTATTTTCCCCTTCGTCGCCGCTGCCGCTTGCACAAAGCTTCTTTCAAGTTTGAGAAATGGCTTAGAGTCTTCTTAAGCAGCCTCAGTACACCTCCCAATATTCTCCTTCTCTATGTACTTACGCTAACACCATCGAACGGCGGAGGTGTCATGTAAGTTTCAACGCTCACTTGCTTTCATTTACTGTGGGCTTGTATACACAACTATAGTCTGTCAAATATATTTCATATGTGGTTGTGTAATCAATGAACAGATGATGTTTATTATCTGTAATAAGAGTAGCTAGTTTGTATGACATGTTAAAAGACATTCAAAGAGCCATCAAATCGGTTAAGTCTAATGAATTCGATTAGATTAGAAGTAGCCAATCCGATATGTTTACATTGCTACTTGATAAAAGAAAGTTAAATGAGCGACTTTGAAGGTGTGTTTGGTAGGCAACCATATATTCTTATACAGTTAGTACGAAGTACAACCACAGAGTGGCGCTGATGCTGGATTTTCCCGTCGTTCTTTTTGACAGTCCAATGTTCAATGCTTTGACGTTGATGTATTCGTAATTTTGAATTGAAAGTTGAATTTTGTGCGATGCCGGAGCTTTTATTAGTTTTGTGTTGGTGATACTGATATCTATTGAGCGTTAAACTGAATTTAAATTTACAAACTAAATCTTTGTAATGAATGCTTATCGAATGCGTGGTGCCTGGTTGTACTGATAAAATCAGTAAAAGACATACATTTCCAAAATATGATGCCGCTTTTTTTAAAAAATGGATCGAGCAAGTGCGAAATCCAGTTTTGGACAATAAAGTCACGAACAAATTTATAAAAGACATTTGGTGTGTGACTTACATTTTTAGGAAAGTGATAAGGTGCCTGAAACTCACAGAGGTCTGAAAAGAACAGATTCCTGAACTTCAAACTTCATGTAAGTAATAATTTTTATTACATATATAAAGCAGGGTCATGCACTGTGTAATCAGTGAATAATCAGGATTAAATGATTCAAAAATTTTGGTGACCTAAAAACTTTCACACCAATTACGGTTTGCACAATTTTTGGAAAAATTTACCTAGCATACACATAATGAAATTCAATTCTTTTTTAGGTATGGTTTCGGACAATGTTCAGACTAGTCCCGAAACTCATAAAGGAAGTAGGGAAATTAAATTGCTAATTGTAAACTTACATGGTACATCGGTAATACCGATTATTTTTAGATTATTAACAACTTGCATAAGTGTTATTTTTATGTATTGTACCAAAAAAATATACATTTTAAAAATAAAATCAGGTTGAGTCTCATTTTACTTAAAATATCTTGTATATAAATTGAATATTTAATTCAAATTTAGTTCCACAGTCTAAGAGGAAAGGTCAAAGATGGCCTAGGTATTCTATATTTTTAAAGGGTTCTATAACAATTCGTATAGGTTCTATAAAAAGTTCGGAGTATATACCAGGAATGACGCTATAATCTTAGTGACAAACCTTAACATTACAGATTCCCTTATAAAATAGGTGTTATGTGGTTTTGGTGCATACTTTTAACTCATTCGTTTACCAGTGCCTACCAAAGAGACAGCGTTGTATCAACATAATAATATCTAATACTTACCGGTGAAAACATCGTCCTTTATGAGGCTTTTACCACTCTTTACAAATTATGTAAGAACCGTGTCATCTAACGCCATAATTATCTGCAAACAAACGCACTTAAAAAAAATATAACACTAAATATACCAAGTTACTAACAGAACTGTAAAAAAATTGGCATATGTCAAGTGCACTTTGATCATCACTATACACTGTGAGAATTAGGAGACAAACAAATCGTTAGCTGGCTCCTTTTATCTAGTCTGTGTCAGTCAAAATATATTATTTCACTATTTCACTATAAACTGTGAGAATTAGGAGACAAACAAATCGTTAGCTGGCTCCTTTTATCTACTATAGTCTGAGTCAGTCAAAATATATTATTTCACTATTGACCTCAGGCATCACCATTATTGACTGCAATGCTCTATTGAGAAGTAGCATTTTTCTTCTTCGGCAAATAATGAAAGAAAAAACACATAGGTAGTATATAATAATTTCATTTGAAATTACATCATTGTGTCAGTTTGACAACAACAATTTAGAATGCTTGAGAAATGGGTAATTTTGAGTATAGCTAGTCATGACAACCCCAATAAATAATCGACACAATGTTTGAAAACGTCTTTTAATGTTAACAAAAAGAATAGACTGGTACCTTACTCCCCTTGGATGGCCCAGTCCAAACCAAATCAGTGGGCAGTTGCATTTATTAATTTATGTTTGCCAGGCCTTTTTTTGGTTAATTAATCAAAAACAATGATCAATACTATCTAACGGTTGGTCGAAGCAAAACAGTTGTCTAGTGGCGTGCAAATTTAGGCCCTAGCTCAACAAAGCGGAGAGTATGGGGGGGGGGGGGGTGTTAAGAGCGCCAGTGACAGGTCGGATTAAGCCACAACTCCCCGAGATGTTAGTCGGAACTTGTTTTGCTTGACGACCACACAAAAGGAGAATCTAACAGAGATGACGAAATAAAACAAGATATTAAATGAGTCACAATATATTGATTAATAAAAAAAACGCACGTGTGCTCCACTACTGGAGTGCGAGTAATAAAAAACAGAAAGGATGTTATAAATCTTAAATACAACCTGACAAAATTATTTTTCGAGATAACCCCGCGAAATGTCTACCGTCTGGTCAAAAACTGGCCAGTAGTGGGCACGTCACTGGCCTTCTTGCCAAAAATTATGGTAGTAAAAAAAACCCTAGAGAGAGAAAGACTGTTTAAAAATCTACTCTACTCTCTGTCTGAGATAAAACTACTCATTGAAAACAATCGCACTTGAGGCAAAACCATGTACATTTTTTTGTACAAGAAAAGTAAAGCAAAGGCAAAAAAAAAAGATAAAAATGTGCTAAACTAATATAGCCTTGTTCTAAAAAGTTATGGTAGCTCAAAAATCAAAATCATGATCAATGTAATACAAGGTGCCATGTAGGCAATCAAGAAATCTCTAAGATTTTCAATAAGCAATAATAAATGTATAAAGATCTATGAAATTGTTAATTAGAATGATATTTTACCTGTTCACATCAGGATTTTTTTTTTCAAGGGGAGGGCTTCCACCGATTTGCAAAACTGCAAGAAGATGCAACCAACTGGAGGAGAAAGGATGATGATTCTCTTCTGTTTCTATTGACTAAAAGAAATCAGATATTGAACGAACGTCATCAGGACATGCATTAAGGCATGTGGTCCGAAGGTATATAAAAAATAACTTACCGCTGAGGGACAAAATCCCATAAAAAAATGAAAGACGTAGCACCCAAACCAAAATGACTAAACTTAAGTTACACAAAAAAGGGTGCTAGTCCATGAACGGGCGCTTGGGGCCTAATATCCCAGAGTCCCGAAAATGACGAAACGACCCCTGCACCACGACCTCAACGAAAACAGAAAAGCGAATCACGCAGAACACGTAACGTTCTAGAAGAAGGTATTTTGAGTGGCCTTGAAGAAGATATGTTTTATAGGAAACCAACTAACGGAGAAAAACTACAGTTTTTTGCTGATCGTCAACACCATACTGAATCGCTGAGAAAGAAAGATATAATACGAGTGAAATTGTACAATCAATAAACTATTAAATTTGCCAAAAGAAAATCATTAAAAAGGGTTTGGCCTAGGAATGGGCACTCTATTTTTAACGAAGACAAATTCAAATTACGGATAAGTGATAGTAAAAAAAATGGGTTACGTGACTTTGCCACGTGACATGTTTTTCAATTTGAGTCGGAAACGCCATGATTGTGATGAATCGAATATTTTGCGATATATAGTGTTAGTACTGGAAACATTCTATACATCCACGTTTGAGAAGCCCAGTACTGGCATCGCACATTATATTCCTCGGCGCTACGCACCTAAGGTTATAAAAGTGCTCGCCTGATAATGGTCCACTTGTCAAACATGGTATGTATGTAATGTAATTACTGATAAATTCCCATTATTTGCCGAATTCACATTAAGTTACACTTCCCCTCCTAGGTAGATTACGAGAATGAAATAACACTACGTAAATAATTATTTGGCCCGTTGGGCATATAATTGTCACTGCTATTAAGCCCTTAATCTATTTTTGAATATCATTGATTTGCTACTATTGTATACTTCAAGTAAATAGAGAGGATATATCTGAAATTACTGTTATTCATTATATTTATTTATTCCATGATTTCAACAGCCTGAAAGTTCGATATTATTTGATAAATCGAAGTATTTGTAAATGAGTGGGAAACGAATGATGTGTTGACGTCCGTAGCATTTTCTATCTTTGTCCAACTCTATCATGGAGTGGCACGCACTACAGTATATTCAGATAAGAGATAGACCGGACATAAACAAGACCACGTGATCATCGAACGCTGTAACATTCGGCAGGGACGTATTAAGAGTCACGCAGTACATATTTTAGATAGTAGATGCTGCTTTGCGTAACTTTGTAGTAAATTAGCACAATTCGATGTGTATACGATTGGTGATGCATATAGGATCATGTGGGGGTGGGGTAAGAAATATATAATGATGTAAATATACATAAGGGTTTCAAAATTTTCGCTTCGATTTCCAGCTTCGGATGCCGCCTGATGTTTGGTGAAATACAGTCGAATATAATCTCAAAATGGCGTTTAAATTAGCCTAAATTAAAAATAATCGTATATCTCTTAAAATTGCTTTTAGAATATTGATTAGTATATTTTTTGATTTCTAGGTAAATATGTAACCAAATTAAAACGTTCAAAACGTAAAAAAAATGTGCATGGTTGAACATTGTCAGAAAGTAGATTCTTGAATAGGTTTTGCCAAAATGGGTTCAAAAATGTCAATAATTAATTAAAAAATACAGTAGCTTTATAATTACTTATAACTTACCGAATTTGATGAATGACATCTTTTATTGGAAAGATGAGCTTGATGAGCTTTCATCATCGCTACTGCCTGCAGCACCAACGTCAACAATGAATGGCTCGACTTGTTCCTCTAAAATATTG